CAGACACACAAGCACAGGCATACACCCACAATTTCCAGTTCTCCCCAGACCTTTTGAAGTCTACATCCTTCTGTCTTCCAAAGGCACAAACAGTTTCTACGACTAAAAGCTCAACCAATATGGATGGTGGCTGAGAGCTCCGCCTCTTCTGCTGCCGTTTGAATTTATATTACGTTAAGCCCTGCCTCTTATGAACTGAGTTTTCCAATTTTAGAAGGGTTTTTGTTGTTGTTGTTGTTAAGTGCCATCGAGTCGGGTCTTTAGTGCTCATTTAATCATTTCTTATATAAATTTAGGTTTGGGGGTTCCATCTGTACCCCCCCCCCTTTGCCACATCTCTCCTTAATGACTTATGTTGTTGTTGTTGTTATGTGCCGTCGGTTCCCACTCAGAGAGACCCTGTACAGGGTTTTCGAAGCTGTAAATCTTTACTGGAGCATAAAGCCTCATCTTTGTCCCACGGAACAGCTGGTAGTTTCGAACTGCTGTCCTTGCGTTTCGCAGCCCGATTCGTAATCACTACGCTGCCAGAGCTCCTTTTAATGACTTATGAGTGACATATTAGGTAAACAATAAGGTGAACAGTAATCAATATGAAAGAATAAACTCTGTCTAACTTTAAAGGTCGATGTGGGGAAAGAAGTCAGAGCCTAGAGTGTGGGACACAGAAGTGGCTGGTAAATGGCCCAGCCCTACGGATGGACGCGGCAACATCTCATTCCCCTCTGAACCCAAACCTCTCTCTCAGCCACCTCATTTTGTTCACATTTGTTCTCCACTGCTCCTTATGTCTGCCCTCACTTGCCAGCTTTTAGTCAAGGTGCTCTCCCCAAAGACCTGATGGATACATCTCTCCATAAACCGAATTTGTCACCATAGATATAATTAGTCATCAGGACAGCTCACAAGTGGAAGGACTCATGTGTATTTATAAACTGTCACGAAGTGGTTCAACTATCCAAGAAAGAGGTATATAATTTTAACACATAGAGATACATGGTCTTGAACATAGTCTTTTCTTTACCCTTATTTTCCTACACAACTTGAGTTCCTTTGTAATTCATCTTTCCGCTTATCCCTTTTTGGGTACCCTGTCTTCACTTGCCTCTCTTCCTGCCATTCCCCTGGAGGGTTGGAGGTATAGTGGGCGTGCACCTCATTCTTCACATCACACACCAGCACCTTCCTTAGACCAGTGTTTCAATAAAGGGCCCCAATGTTCCAGAGTTGTTGCAGACCGTGAAGGCCTGGTCAGAGGTTCGAGGCCCTATGGGCCCGAGTGTAACAGATCTAGCCACCTGGCAGTTAATAACAAATTATTTTTATTAATTGCAGACATGAAGCCCTTGATATACACAGATAAATGTAATATTTTCCTAAAAGTCAAGACTGTAAAATTCTAAACAGGCAAAGTTCTTCCCTCAGAGAATTCATTCAAGGTAAATTGGGTGGCTCCCTGGTTTGTTCCAAGGACAATAGGAATGCCCTCCCTAAAGTATTTCCAGGTGCTGCCTATTCACCCAGGCACCTCTTTTCCTGAAGAACCTGGGCTGGGCAGCTGACACAATAGGAATCCTCTTGATCCTCCCTTTCCTCCCTCCATTTGAGGCTAGGTGCTAAAAGATATGTTAATTAAGCTTGAGAAACCAAGTTGCTGTAGTGAGATTCGAACCTGCAAACTATGATGTAAAGTTGCCTAAATGTCTGGAAGAATAAGATTGACAGCTGTATCTTGTCTTAGTCCCCTCCTAGCTTTGTGTAAAGTACCTCCCCTAAATAAAAGGAAGGTGCAGAACGAATCCAGGTGCATTACGACTGGCAAGGCATGCGTTAGAGCATGCAAGGGGCACAGTCCAGCCTTGCAACTATACTGCCTGTTTAGCTAAGATGTTTACTATGCAGGATATTACAGCCTTCGTGGCTGAGATGTTTGCAACGCAGGATCTGCCTGATGCCAGTCCAGCATTCACTCTGGTTTCGGAGTGTCTCTTTGTCTCTCTGTTTGTATCTCTGTGTCTCTTTTGCTATCTCTATCGCCGCTGGATCTCCCCTCCTCGTGAACCAAACACTCGTGAACAACACAACTATGTCGAGGCAAGTCCCCGGCACAGAGTAAGACAATAAAACTGCATAAAGCATAACCCAATTAAAGCAAGTGTGATTTATAGATATTATTTAACTCTTTATCCTCCTGAGACTACCTGGTGTGATTGATAGACTTGCTCCCCAGGATTTTCTTGAGTGGAATATTTACAGAAGCAGATCTCTAGGATTTTCTTCTGAAGCACTGTTGTGTGGTTTCTAACTGCTAACCTTTAGTTAAGTAGCTGAGTATAAACCATTTCCACCACCCAAGGACCTTCTTCTGAGAATCTGGCTGTTGCTAGGTGTCACTGAGTCGATGGTGACTCATAATAACCCCATGTGACGGTGTATTATTACATCATAGGGTTTCCTAGGCTGCAACATTTATGGGAGCAGTTGTCTAGGTCTTTCTTCCATGAAGTTATTGGTGTGTTTAAAATACAAACCTTTTTGTGAGTAGTCAAGCCCTTAATCGTTGCATCCCAAGATGCCTTCTTCTGAGGTTCAGTGTAATTTCTCATTTGAAGAAAATATAACCAACCAACCTCTGAGCATCATCTTGTGGAAAAGAATTCTCCATGTTGACAGCACTGCTGCCCCTCCCCCACCCCAATGCAGAACCATTTGCTTTTCCCTCCAATGTTCCCATTTGTCTGTGTTCCTATCCCCGTCTTGTGAGTCCGGCTGATTTTCCCCTTATGTCTTCTCCTCCCCCCACCTGAGCCAAGTGTGAGCTGAACTTCCTCTTCTCCTGAACATGATCAGGTCATGGGATCTGGACGCCTTTTGTCCTCACCTTCAGACAGAAGGACCATGGAGGACAGTAGACCCCATCTGAAGGCATCTGAAAACCGCTTCTTTGCTGTCAAATTCTTTATGAAACTTTTATTTTTAAATATAGGAATTCTTTGTCCAGAACCTTACAGGATATTCCCTAGTAACTTCAGACCTCCTTTGTGGCAGAGGTTATATCCCATTCATCACCTAATAGAGACTACTGCACCTAAATAGGTGTTTGGTGATTGTGTGCTCACTTTCTGGAAGTGCAATGGCCAAATAATGCTACTGTCATCAAGTGGTGTCTTTGTACAAGGGAATGACTCAGGTTTCTTACTGACATACCCAGAACAGGGGATTTCGAGGGGATACCATGAGGACCTTGCACATGACGATGTGCAGCAGGGTAGAAACGTGCCCCTACATTAGGAAACATTCTCCTTGGAACACTCATACTTCCCAATTGTGCAGAAGAACAGTCCCTGCTCTGTCATTAGGTTGGATGTTCATTCTTTGGAAGAGGAGCAGTGGCCTGAATAGAGCTAATGTTACATAGTAAGGAAAGACTATAATTGTAATATATTTTACAATAGTAATATTTAACATTTAAGAAATAATTGAATATATCCAGTACTTGACAAATATTGTCAATTACAAGAGGGCTTCAAACAGTCAATGAAAAAATGGAATTGAAAGGCAATGGAAAATTTCACCATCTCTTTGAAGCAACCTTGTATTATTACTAAGTGCACTATTATTTTCTGATAAGTTACCATTGAGGGAAACTGGAGTACAGGATACACATGATCTCTCTGTATTATTCTTTGTGGATATACAATCATACTGGTATAAATCTAAATTTTAAAAAGGAAACAGAGGGCACAAAAAAAACCTTGAGCCTACTTCTATGTATGCATATTCAAAAGCTATAATCATATCAAAGGTTACACATGATTCTGTGATGCAACAACCCTCAATTATTTTGTCAAAGCTAATGATGTCAAATGATAATAGCAATTGATTTAGCAACTTACGGCAGTTGAATTCTATTTCCTGTCTATAGCACTTTGCTATTCAATCTATTTTCTCCACATACTAGAAGACTGAATATTTATGTGTAAATATTAATGTCAAGTCTGCTCACCTAGTGTACAAAAAGTCACAACAGGTTTTGGTGTAATTTTAAACTGATAATTCATGAAAAACATCTATTTTTGATGACGAAACCTTCAGTCATTTTTTTGTAAACCTGGAAAGAAAAGCACCAGGAATTGTAATGGTACTAGGCCAAGGACATTAAACAATGATTCTTATATTCCCTTTCACTTAAACAAATCAAGTTGAAGATAAGTGTTCAAATACTTTTCAGCCTGAATATTTATCAGTCTGTACAACCCACAATGAGCCCTGGAAGTTCAGTGGTTAAGCATTTAGCTGCTAACTGACCACTAAGATGAAACCACCTTCCCACTGCCATTGAATTAATTCTGACTCATGAGTCACACTGCTTCCCAAGAATTTCCGATGCTGTAAATCTATACAGGAGCAGACAGCTTCATCTTTCGCTCACGGAGTAACTGATGGGTTCAAACTGCTGGCACTGTAGTTAGCAGCCCAACGTATAACCCACTAAGCCACCAGTAAAGATTACAGCTTTGGATTACCAGGCAGGTCTACTTTGTCCTATAGAATCACTGTGAATTGGAATCAACTCACTGGCAAGGCATATACAATCCACTATACCAATTGCATTTTGATTTCTTAATAACCTTTCTATAAAGACTAGCACATCTAAAACAGAAGATAAAACTAACTTTAGTCTCCCCTCTAAAGATATTATGAAACCTTTAAAGCTTAAAAAGCTATATAATAAAGTATCTAAATTAACCACAATATTTATCAAAGTAATGCAGTTTTGGACTGATGACACCTCTATTTGTTTTGAGGACCCAAGAATATCAAGCAGACATTTTCATCCTAATCTATTCTTCTCTAGGGTTACTATTTAATTCTTACAGTACAATTGAACGACTATGTATTTCATTCAATACTAGAGGCAGAAATGGTAGACAAGAAGCTGTGTATTATAGTGAGCAGGTTTTAGCTGCCAATTAGTTGCAGCTTCGAACAAATGCTTTCTAAGAATCACATGACTTGGCTTTCAGTTCATCACTGACAAGCCCTTCTTTGGATTCTTCAGTTGTAGGGTGTTCTTCATTTGTCGAATACGGACATTCTTCATTTTCATTCTTCTCCTCTTCGCCTAGGCCAAGTAAGTCTTTTGAAATCAGTTGCCTAGCTAACTTGAGGTTCAGTCCTTCATTGTAATGAAGCTTCCTTTTCAACTCAAACTGCCTTTGCTTCTCGTGTTTGGCAAGTAACAACTGCCACTCTTCCTCCCTTAAGCTCCCTTCTTGCTCCACCTGATAGTTTGAATCGGATGTTCCACAGGCTGCTAGTTTCTGCACTAAATATTCTTGGATCAGTGCTTCCTTCATCTCAGAGCTATTCACTGTACCTGCACCCTCATCTGGCATAGTAAGGTAGGGAGTGCCGGGCTCATTTACCTTCATTAACTCGTAGTCTTTATATGATAGGCGGTATGTCGCCCGGATGCTCGCTTCGTCCCACTTCTGGGATTTCTTTCTCCTAACCTCTTTGATAGCTCCTCCGGGCTGCTGGGCGGATGCTGCCACAGAAGAAGTTGAAGAGGTTGAAGAGAGTTTGTTCTTGAGTATCCCTTTGATGGGCCTGTGCGAGGTGGTTGAGGCTGCCATGCCTCTGGAGCTAAGGGCCGCGCTTGGCCAGGGCAGCTGAGCAGCCGGCGGCCGCGCTCTGTGCTGAAGGGGCAATGCCAACTGTCTCAGCGATAGCTATGGCTTGGGGTTTTAAAGGGTCCCCATGGCCCCAGTGCCACAGGATCATAATTGTTGCTACAAACGACATCACAATTGCTGTCTCTGACATTGCCTTCGTCATCGTCACCGTCACGGCTGGTCCCAGGCTCACCCTAATGGTTTGTTTTTTTCCCTTTTCTTTGCTTTTTCAATAGAATAAGATGGAACAGCACCACATTTTATGCCTTGTCTGTGTACAGGGAGGCTATTTAAAATGTACTTCTTACTGTGGGTCACTGTCAAAAGTTAAAAAGTTACTTCTAAGGAACCCTGGTACCTAGTGGGGGTTGAGCTGCTAACCACAAAGTCAGCAGTTCTAATCTACCAGCCTTTAACACTCACTGCCCATGGTTCTTAAAAAGTAGCTTTGGTAGCATTTGTTGTTGTTGTTGTGTGCCGTGGAGTCGGTTCCGACTCATAGCAACCCTGTACAGGGTTTCTGAGGCTGTAAATCTTTACGGGAGCAGAAAGCCTCATCTTTCTCCCGCGGAACAGCTGGTAGTTTCGAACTGCTGAGCTTGAGGTTCGCAGCCCGATTCGTAACCACTACGCTATTTGGTAGCATACGGGCTGCTAATCTCACAATCAGCAATTGGAAATTACCAGTGGTTCGGCGAGGGAGAAAGACGAGGCTTTCGGCTCCTGTAAAGATTTACAGCCTCGGAAGCCCTCCACAGGGTCGCCATGATAGGAACCAGCTCCACGGCAATTCACCACCACCACCATGGGTCCTTAAAATCAATACTAAATCCAAAACAGGCCCCAAAGCAGCTGTATACTCTGCTTAGGTCTCTTCTGAAATAGTTTCCTCCAAATGCTCCCCTTCCTCCTTTTAGCTTTATATTCTGATTTCTCAGTTCTGGCGTCTGTCTTGTCTCAAGTGCTTCCTGACATCTCAAACGTTACTGCCTTTTAGGACGCTTTTTGTGACACCCCTGCACTCCCCACCAAAGTAAGATAGACTTCCCTGTGCTGTTACAGCCTCGCCTGATTCTCCATTACAACACTCAGAGTTCTTTGCAATATAGTCTGCTTATATTTGGTGGGCGAGTCCTTGGATGTTGTTGTTAAGTACCGTGGAGTCGGTTCCGACTCATAGTGACCCTGCACAGGGTTTCTGAGGCTGTAAATCTTTACAGGAGCAGAAAGCCTCCTCTTTCTCCCGCGGAACAGCTGGTAGTTTCAAACTGCTGACCTTGCGGTTCGCAGCCTGATTCGTAACCACTATGCTACCAGAGCTCCTTGAGTCCTTGGATAGTGCAGTTGATTAAGCACTCTGCAGCTAGCTGAATGATTGGTGATTTGAATCTACCCACAGGCATCTCAAGACCGGTCTGCATTTGCTTCCAGAGGAACAGCCTTGAAAACCCTATAGAGCAGTCCTATTCTGCACCCATGAGATCATCATGAGTCAAGATCAACTCAGTGACAAGATCAAAACTACATGGTAAGCTCCAAGAGGAGAAGGAAAGTGTCGCTTTTGTATACTCTCTCTCTAGCCTTGTATCTACATAGCATGATGTTGTATTTGGCACTTAGTAGATATTATAAAAATATCTGTTGAATGAGTCATATAATAGATGATAGGGGAGTTTTGGTGTGATGCTATAGGATAAGCACTGGACTACTAACCGTAAGATAAGCAGTTGAAATCCATCTGCCACTCTTCAGAAACCTTATAACCAGGTTGCTATGAGTCGGAACCCACTTGACAACATTAACAACAACAGGTGATAGGGAACTCTGAGAATGCGTTGTAAACGCGGGATAAAAGGTGTTTCAGAATTGTTACATTGTTGTTAAGTGTCATCGAGTCAGTTCTGGCTCATAGTGACCCTATGTAGGGTTTCCAAGTAGTTGTTGATAAGTGCCATCGAGTCGGTTCCGACCCATAGCGACCCTGAACAGGGATTCCGAGGCTGTAAATCTTTACAGGAGCAGAAAGCCTCATCTTTCTCCCGCGAAGCGGCTGGTAGTTTCGAACTGCTGACCTTGCAGTTAGTTCGCAGCCCGATTCATAACCACTACACTACCAGAGCTCCTTTCCAAGTAGTAGCTAGTAGCTTTAAGCCAAAAACCTTGTGGTTAGCAGTCAAGCGCTTATCCTACAGCACCACACCAGAAGTCCCAAAGCTGTTAGAATTTGTCCAGTCAGCCATGTGAGGAAAACTCTCCACATGTAGAATTTGGGCGCTTTTACAAGAAGTGATTTATTTTCTGCCCCTCACAAGCCACATCTTTACATGCAGCACAATTCTTCTAAAAAGAAAATTAAGACCAGTTTCACATTTTTTTTTTTTTTCTTATGATAGCATTTTGCTTCTCTTCTCCTCTCCCTCAAGGTCTTTCTGCATTTTAGAACACAAAAGCAAAAGCATGAAAGAACCGTAAAACTTTACAAGAGTCTTAAGCACCTTAAGTTCAAGTCGTCCTGCAGTCTCCAAAGTACTACTAACTTCAGGAAGTCTACAATCACTTTAAAAGTATGGTATTCATCCCAGAAAAAGAATTTCCTAGTACAATACTCTCTTTAAAGCTGCTTTCAGGGATTCAAAAGCATTCAGGGATTCAAAAGCTGATATTCAAGGCTATAGGAAAACCCTCCGGTATGCCAGGAAAAATAAAACCTTCATTATTCATAAACTTTGTGCTGGCCTTTTAAAGAGCCTAAATAAAAGGCATCACAGACTAGCACAAGCACAGTTTGTCCTTCTGGCTAGTAGACACAGTAAACTTGTGCATGTTTTGCTGTAAACAGGATGTTAAGGGAGATGCCAGTTCTAGTGCATTGAGGTTTTCTTTTTGTGTGTACACAGAATACACTCCCACATACTGTGATCTGAATATATAAGCTGCTCAATATATAATGAGTTAGTGATCCAACAGTTCTTGAATTTTCTGAAGCTCACCATTCAGTAGTACAATGACGATTCAGACTCGGGCAGGAGCACTGTGATGTGTGACCTATTACATGGGCCATAGACAGAATCCTTTACAGAATGAAATTGCCAGGCATTACAGATTTCAGTTGTACATTATTTAAAAACAACCCCTCTTCACCTACTATTTGCTAATTCTCCGTTTAATCAAAGTCACTCTAAGACAAAAAAATCTTGAGTTCTTGTGTCAAAGTAAAAATGATCAATGTAGTCAAAACTGAAGGATATGCCTCACTACCATAAACCTAAAAATTAGAAAAGATGATTATTCTTTCCAACATCCTGCTGGATGTTATTGTACTAAGACAAAGGCTGAACAGATGTGTTTGGGGATTCAAGTCTTATCACTGACCACTCTAGGTACTCACAGAGTGCAATACTTACCTGTACAATGCTAGGTGTGATGTGTGCATGAATGCACTACAGGCACACACACACACACACACACACTCTAGGGAAGAATAAAATTTCTCAATGACATAGGAAAGTTAGAAACATGTAGAAGTGTTCTCTTTCAACACATACAGATATTTAGTGCTATTGTATTTTCAATTGGAGAAGCTTTATTTTGGATGCACAAAAAAATGAAGTTGTATATTCAGTGGGCAACTCAGACACTGTTGCTGGTTGGCTTCTCAGAAGTGCCATTTAAGGTACCACACAAAGCAGGAGACGGAGAACAACCTGAAGTTATGGCAAGAGAGAGTCAGTACCCAAAGCAGGAGTCAAGTTTGGTCATCCTGAGTGTTGATTTTCTGAGTGATCACTTGTTTTGAAAATGGAGGTGAGGACTGAGACAAGCACATCTGTCTGATGACAAAGGAAACAGGATACAAATGAAAATGTCTGATATTAAACATCAACTTTACCCTCTGTCAAGGATTAATCTAGTTTGGGAATGTTAATTAAAGAAAACTGGCATCTCTGGGAATATCTGCAAGGATTTAGGCAGAAAATAATGTCAGAGGTATCAGAAAATATGTCTTGTGAGGATTGGTTGAAGAGTTTGTAAATAAGAGAAAGGTTCTCCGGACTCCTTAAAGGGACACTAAGATGTCTTGTGGTTAGAAAACCCACAAGTTTTCTTGAAGAGGGGATAAGCTATTGACAAAGTAGAAAATGCTTTTATCAACATTATTTTGTGTAAAATATTATTAGGTTAGATTCCTAAAAATATTATTTTTGCTTTCAAGAAAATTTTAACAGGCCCTCACATCATAAGACTGAGGATCCCAGGTCACAAAGGTGGCGTAACAAGAATGAATGTCCCAAGCCTGTTCCTTATGTGGCCCAGTCTGAAATTAGAGAACATCAGGTATTTCAGCATGGAGTTGACATTGTCCCTTAAAAAATGTACCGGAAAAGGTTAAACAAGTTAGAAAGTCTTTATTCAAATGCTACTATAATAGAAGAGAAAGACTAAGTCTGATTTTAACTCCATAGAAACAAAGGGCAACACACTTTTTAAAGACTACAGTGTGATAGTAAAAAATACTAAAGCATCTTCTCTTAGTTATCTAGTGTTGCTATAACAGAAATGCAACACGCAGACAGTTTTAATGAACCAAAATTGGTTTCCTCACAGGTTAGGAGGCTGTCAGTCTGAAATCAAGGCCCCAGCTTTTGGGTAAGGCTTTCTCTTTTCGTTAACTCTAGGAGAAGGTCCTTGGCTTTTTTTAGCTTCTTTTCTTCGATTCCTTGGCAATTTTCATGCGGCAGAGCACCTATCTTCCCTCCTCCATCTTCTTCTTTGCCTCTTTTATATCTCAAGTGATTGCCTTAAGATACACTCTACTCTGATCTGGCATCATTAATAAACAAAGAAAATCAAATGGGATTGCATCCACAGTATAAGGTTAAGATTCGCAACACATTTTGTGGTCCACAATTCAATCCATAACTACAGTGCAGTGAATTACTTAATATGGTCCTTTTAGCCAC